CCAAGAGGTTCACAATGACGAGGTTTAATGTGTTATAGTGTCAATGACACATTTCCCAGACCAAAATGATCACAACAAGGACCTGCAAATTATAATTCAGGAAACACGTACGATTCGGAAAAACGCACCCAGTACATTAACAAAAGGGCCGTGAAACTGCACGTACTGAATGTGCAGCAGCACTATGAACGGTATCTAAGTGCAGGGTTTTTGATTGCCTGGCATCTGCGTCAATCGAACCGTGACAGTTCAACAACATGCCAAGATTAACAGAAATGCAAAGAAAGAACGTCATATGCCGCTTGCAGGCGGTGGAATCCCGATCAGCTGTACCCAGGCTTTTCAATGTAGCGCCCAGCACCATCACAAGGCTATGGGATCAGTTTCAACAGCATGGGTCAACACGCGATCGGCCAAAGTCCAGACGATCAAGAGTAACCACCCCCGCCCAAGATTGGTACATCCGACTGCGCCACCTACGTGAAAGGACGACCACAGCCACCTTAACCACATCCCAAATACCCGGACTGCGCAGAATATCCGACCAGACCGTACGAAACCGTTTAAGAGCAGCAGGTCTACGAGCAAGACGTCTTGTTAGACGCGTCATAATGAGTCGACAACATCGCCAACAACGACTACAATTGTGTCGACAACACAGGGTATGGCATCAACTGCGATGGATAGAGGTCTGGTTCAGCAACGAATCGAGGTTTCGCCTCCATCGAGGGGATTTAAGGGCACGGGTCTACAGACGTCGGGGAGAACGTTACGCCGGAAACTGAGTAAAGGAAGTGGGCAGGTTTGGTGCGGGTAGCATTTTGATGTGGGCGGCTATCTCTCATGGCAGGACAGATTGATCCATATCCAGGACACTCTTACGGCGATGCAACGATACATCAACGAAATTCTCCTACCACACGTCCTCCAAATTGCAGCCAACGGCAACGGTGTTTTACAGCAGGAAAACGCTCGACCGCATTCAGCATGGATCACATGAGCCTGTCTCCACAACAACAACGTTGATGTTCTCTCCTGGCCCTCCAGTTCCCCGGATTTGAACCCGATAGAGCACCTGTTGGATGAATTGGATAGACGGCTTCGCCGACGTCAACCACAACCCTAGACGTTGCAGCAGTTGGCTTTTTCGATGCAGGCCGAGTGGGCTACAATTCCTCAGGATTTGATTCGCATACTCGTCTCTTCCATGGGCAGGTGATGCCAGGCCGCTATCGATTCCAACGGGGGACATACGCGTTTTTGGTGGTAGCTGACCTTCACCTTGGGCTTTTCCTATGTACCGATAACTGAGATGACTACAATCACCAAGTGTTCTCTCCACAACATTTTGGCTCAATACCTTGCTCGGTTCCTCGTATAAATGTATTTTCCTACCTCACACAAATCTTGTTTTGCGTTTCTTTTTTTGAAGAGTATATATGAGCAACCATTATGTGAAGTAACGTACCTGTACATTGTACATATGCAGATTGCTGTTTGAAATTAAACAACGTGCATGTCACACATTCTGAAAACGTCAACTTGTGCTTTCTCCTAAATTTGTTGCTTGTATATATGGAACATAAACATTTATGAGGTGAGGTGAAATGGGGTTTAACGTCGCATCGAAGATTATTGCACTTATATAGCGACGTGCATGCACGTGTGTTTGTGTGTGTGGCTGCTTGTACTAGTCCGGACTGATGCCGATTTATAGTGCTAGCACACTGAGATACCATGTCGCAGTTTAACATAAATACCCTACTCAGATACAGTATACTGACTCCGAGCCGACCAGTCCTTGTTTTAGCCCCTTAATGCCGAGCGCCAGACAGGGTAACAACAAGTACCATCTTTTAACGTCTTTTGGTATGACGCGGCTGGGGATAAAACTCCGGACCTTCCGCTCTCCGGGCGGACGCTCTACCATTAGACCATGGAGGCGGTCTAAACATTTATGAATAAATTAATAGCTTTCCATAACCGTCTTGATATGATTCATTACAATCATAAGAATATTACATATAATAATTCAGTGATAACACGAATTCACATTTTGTTCAAATAAATACTAATTTGAGGAGCAACACAAATAACATAGACACCACATAATTCTTTTCTTTTTCATAAAATAATATTTTGTTGTGTATAAGAAACTGATTTATTAGCAATAATTTGCAGTATTATATATTTGGGTCAAACGTTTTCCTTATTCGTTCATGTGCGTTGGTATAACAAACAATACATGTCTTCAACATGTTATAACAATAAATCACTCTACAGGTAACGCCTCCAAAACTGCACTCCTGTACGCAATATGTGCGCAGCGAGCAATATCACTCTGACTTGATATAAAAGGAAAGGACTCTCGTAACAAACTGCACTGCAAGCGAAGTCTGTTGCTAGAAGTCAGTATGAAGACGCATACAGAATGCATGTTAATGTGGGGTAAGCAAATAAGCAATTATTGGCAAATATGTCTTGACAATATTTTTATCTAGGGCCAAAATTTCGTTCAGTAATTATTTTACTGTAAATGAAAAATCTGACGTTACGTTTGAATTTGATAAATATATTAGTTATATATTGATAAGATTGTATCAGGTACATATCGCATCTGATCAGATGTCTGGTTGTTTGCAGCAGGCCTCATTGTAATGGTGTTCAACAGACAGTGTTTCGCAAGTGAGTAACAAAGATGTGCAACAGTATTGTAATTCCCTGTGCCTAGCTCAACTTACCAGGAATCCCCAACAAGAATGGTACGAGACTGATAGTGCTATTAAAAGTCAGGTAGCCTGACCTATGGTAGGTCACCGATTTACAAGTAAACACAATATTCAATCGATATTTCATTTGATCTGGGTCTCACGTACAATGCTTAATGCACTGTTAAGACATTGTGAGGCAGAATGGCATTTATACATGAGTCAAATATATAATAAATGATTGAGCCAAGACATTAATACTGCCCCCTACTGTTGCAAACGAACATATTTCTCAAACGCTTTCCTTTACTTATAAGCAGCACAATGTCTGCACTTGTACACAGCAGACGAAATTCATTATTTACATATCGCGTTTAGTTTCAATAAAATCAGTGAATGCGCTATCGTATCACGAATATTTCTGGTCCATCGCTTGATTGTCTGGTTTGTCACATGGCAAGGTAGTGCTGTGCGACGTCAGGCAATAAACACACACTTTTACGGAAATTGTGTGAATGCCGGGTGGTACCGTTAGGACTAATTTGATCTATTTTTATATTTACAAAGAGTGTTATGCCAATACATCTCTAACAGTTTGAATTCTTTGGGAATGACATTATTAGATAAATAGTGTACAAAATAAAAACGGTACACGAATGTTATCTTAGAATATTTCTGGCGCAGGTTATAGACTGGACATTTCATTAGAAAGTGAACATTCATCACAATATTAACGTCTACGATCATAATACTGTGGTTATATGTAGTATTAGAACGTCAATGACTTATGGACATTTATAATGATGTCTTGCAACCAAACATCCTCTCTAATAGCTATCACATAAACGCATTCTATGATTCTATATACTCCAGATCCTTGCAGCCCTAATCCATGCCATGGAGGAGAAGACTGTACAGATAATGGTGGTGTACACAGCTGCGCATGTAACGATGGTTACGGGGGAGATACATGTGAGCTTGGTAAGTCCCTTCATCTAACATTTAGCCTCCTTATTCGCTGGCTTTATGTCGTTGGTGGTCGTAAGATTCACAATTTCTACCAAGACAGTGGGGGACACCAGATATGGGCTTCATACATTGTACCCATGCCGGGAATCGAACCCGGGTCTTCGGCGTGACGAGCGAACGCTTTAACCACTAGGCTACCCGACCGCCCCCCAAAAAGAAAGCTTTTTCCAAGCTCTATATAGTCTTTCCATTCAACACAGATTGGTTTACTTTTTTATGGGTGAAATATCACCGTTGCGAATATTATTCTTACTTTATTCACTGCTAACTGTCCAAACGAACTATTCACATAGTTCTAACTCTCACGCACAATAAAATAATAGTTAAATAAATGGAGTAAGATTGAACACAGTTTTAATTGGCTAGCGCTTTCAAATCTTACCACGTACGAGTCTCATCAGGCCATAATTGAATAACGGACATGAAGTTGTAAATAAAGTTACGTGACGTCATAACATTTGGGATAACTTTGACGTCATAATACCAAGATGACAATGGACAAATAACTTACGCCTTTACATTTAACTTAGGCGCGTGTTTATGAATGAAATGTTGCTCTTTTTGAAACAATGTAGTTTCTGTTTCACGTACGAGTCTCATCGGGCCATAACTGAATAACGGACATGAAGTAGTAAACAACTGCTACTGTTTGTTTGTAAACAACTCCTTGAACCAAGGCTTTTCCCTCAATGTTTTTGAGCTGTGTAGCAGCGTTTGATAATATACCAGAAGGCAAAAGAAACTCAATGCGATCTTTGTTTTGCCACTGCTGCAATATCATGTTGTAGTTCATGAAAGTATGCGAGCATAATCGTTGTAATGATAAATGGTCGGTCTCCACATCCAATGATTTTAGTAAACGTAATATCCTAAAAATACCTTTCATTTTAGTGCCGCAGTGCAAAGACAATGCCGAATGTGAAAATGATGGAACCTGCAACAAAGACAGTGACCAGCATGTGTGTGACTGCAAGGAAGGTTTTGGAGGAAACACGTGTCAGCTTGGTAAGAATAACATATGAAGTCTATCATTTAATTTCGTAAACCAATCATGATACAGAATTTGCGAATCCTGTGAAGCGCACCCGAAGCCGAGTCAGTTGTTCCCCCGTAACAACCTCAGGCCTTGAATGTTGTAACCCTTGTCAAGAAAAACTTTCATCAAGAGTCGTATGATGCTCCTTGAAACTGTTTTTTGATAGTGGTTTCTGATAGGAATGTTTTCCTTCTTGCATGTCCCTCCCTTTCTTTTGATATTTTAAGCTCCAAAGTGCACAGATGCGAAGCCCTGTGAAAACGGCGGTACCTGTCAGGCTGACACCACTGACCAGCATATCTGTTTCTGTGCTCCAGGCTTTGGAGGGGACCTGTGTGCTGACGGTAAAATTATGTTCATATACACATCTCACAATTCAACTAATGCATTGTTGTATATTCTATACTGACTAGAAAACACCCCCTTCTCTGTGACATTGTTTTAAGATTATCGTTACCGCCAACGCTTTCAAACCACATCTGTCGCATAAATAGTAGATATTGATTTCGCAAAAAATAATGCCACAGCATTCAGTGGGATAAAGTCAAGGCCCTCACCACCGACCTCAAAGAAATCAAAATCAGAAAACTAAAGAAGCTATCAACATCAAAAGACTTTAACCGTCGATCAACCGTGACAAAGGCTATTACATACCCCCGGCGTACCATCAACTCATCAAAGACCCCAATCTGTCATAATCCTGTTGTTTATATTACAGGCTTCATCCTTTGTTTATGTCACTAACTAACAGGCTTCTCCACTCCAGTACAATTACATCTGATATCTACGCTACTGTATGAACATTGCCTCCAACCTGTTTATATACTTGTCAACAATATATCACTTGCTTGATAACGTAGTAAGAACCCACACCGAAACGTCGCTCTTAATTGTAATAAAGAAGTTGTTTATCCATGAATCGTATCCTTATTTAGTACTTGAATTAATATCACATTACAATGAACTTTTATCCAAGTTTATCTTCTTAGTGCTGTATAAATAAACTTAACATCAATTGCAGGATACCATAGCATTTTTGTAGATTGCAAAGCGACCTTATATGTCTTTTCGGCACATCTACTACCAGAATGTTCTCCTTTGTTAGCTGTTTGTACTTGATAAAAAGACTTAATAATTATACATGGTTAATGCCTAAATACAGATTGTATCTGTTCTTTGATTTGAAATGGCGGAGAAAGATTTCTATATTTTCACCTAGCAGATATAGGTATGCCATAAGCTGATGCTTCAATACAGACAATACTTGGGTATGTGTACCTTCTATCGAAGCTTTGCAGACGTACAATCGATCCTTGCAATTCAAGGGACGTCGGCGCACTCAAAAGTATCTATGCATTCTTTCAATCCTACTTCATAAATCAAGCCTTCTCATCGGGTGGAATACTTTTTGTTTGTTTGTTGTTTAACGCCGCACTCAGCAAAGAGCAAGTACAATGTTACCTGAAGTCATTGAAAGTGTGTATTTGACATACGATCTAAATTATATGAAGTAAACAACGACATTGTAATGTTGGCAGTTATGTACAACTGAGAAGCGCGAATAATAAATAATTTGACTCAGATTCGCACATTTTCTTTTTCCGACAGCATATCTATAGTACAAATGCTAGACGAGAGCATCCATCACATATCAATTGTACATAACTATAATATGAGCACAACTGAGGCGAAAAAAGAATAGACGTTATTGTGAATAACCCGATCAACATTTATCTTCAATTACTGTTATATTGTCCATCTATTAAAAAGTTAATATGTAAATATTTAAATGCATGCATGAATTTCACCCTATGGATGACGTCGTAGACAAAGATTGTTATCGTGAAAAAGATAAAGTAGCGGTATGTTTAAGCCTTACAGAATAGCTCATATGGCAATCGTTTTATTTGCAAGTTGCTCAGATTTGTCTTTACTTAAACAGTTTCGTGAATATGTCGCCTCATCTTTCTATTTGTAATATTTTAAACATTGGATGTGTTTTTGGTGTTGGAAAAATATTTAACGTCACCTGATCTGTTGGCTTTGGGTTTCGAAAATGGAATCTTGAGGAAAGACGGTAATGCGTTTTTAAATCGTTTAGAGTTTTGGAGTTTTCAAATATCCATTATATAAAGGAAGACTTTATTGAGAATTGCAGAATAAGAAACTGGTTGCTGTCTGTATACAAATATTGTTTTGCTATCTTCTTTTTGTTTGCTTGAGAAATTAACAAAAAAAACTCTCAGACATTTATGAATACAAAATTGTCTAACAGTGTTTCTACCAACACGCTAAGTAATTTATACAGATATAATAAATCTCATAATAAGTTATCATGCATTATTTGATACTTTGATATTTGTATTTTTCTGACAGCTTCGTGCGACAACAATCCGTGCGAGAATGGAGGAGCGTGTTCAGTTGAAAACAGCGCAATTGTCTGCACATGTACATCTGGCCACGGTGGAGACAGATGCGAACTCTGTAGGTCCTCTTCTGTTATTATCATTCAAAAAATACAGTTCCATTTTTATAACAAATCTCTACTAACAGCAGAGTAGATTGTACAATTCCGCCTAGGTCATGAGTATGTATTTATGTAGCACTATCAAATAGTGATGATACCAATTGTTTGCAAATAGGTAAGCGTATCCTGCCCCACCTTATGGGTATTATCATTAGATGCACGGAATGAAATGCAACATGGTAATGTTGAAGCATATTCTTCTTACTTCATGATTGTTTGCCTTTATATTCCCCTGGTATGCAAAACGGGGCATATAAAGTATGTATTGTATGTTGACTGTAGTCAATGTTTGTCTGGACCATATCATATAACAAAAAGGTATTCTTACATGACACATTGCACATATAAAGACCAGGTTTGACTCTGACCTTATTCATAGTAGTGTGTTTGTCAGGACTATGTCTCTAAAGCAAATGGCAATGCTTTCCCGAAACATTGCACACACAAAGATCAGGTTGTCAACTGGTGCCTTTTTTATTTTGGGATTTTGAGATTTGTTATTTTTTCTGATTTCATGAGGAGTGTTGGGCGGGTGGTGAGGGTGGTGGGTTGGTGGGGGGTAGGGGGACTCGCCATCTTCTAATGACTTTTGTATAATGTGGTGAACGTGATAGTTATTTAAATTAAGATTTAATTCTTACAACAAATTGTTGTAAAGTCATAGTATAATAATGCTATAATCACGATTTCATGTACTGTGAAAATATAATGTTCTTCTAAATTGTTTGATAGCCATTACTTAGAAGTTTACGGATGACAAGGTAGACACAATTTTATGGATAACAAATTCCGTAGAGGATTAACGGTAACAACAATCTGGTGTTGATTGGGCGGAATGTTTCAGATTGTCCACAGATTGTCCAGAGAAGCCCCTGAGGCCATACTGACCAAGGCTATGATTCCCTGCGAATCTGACCCAAAGCCTGAATGTCATGGCTTCGGCAATACGTCTAAATCTGTTGCAAAAATGCATTTTCATTAAAATATCGAGTTTTTTTATTTACGCTTACATCTTAATATGAAACATTTGAGGCAGATTCACTTGTGTTTTTTATTTATAGAAATATATGAGTAAATAAGTGGATGTGAATTTGTTATTTGACAATTACTGAACGGTATGTGATCATCGATATACCTGAAACTAAATTACCTTGCTTTGATTTTGTCAATCCGAGCAGAAATTCTTGTTAATATGTACGAAGAAAGGAGGGGAGCGCCATTGGTGCCCATGGGGATGTCTTTTCCCAAATTACATATAAGTAAGAAAGCTTTTTCCAAGATCGGTATAGTCTTTCCATTCAAAACAGATTGGTTAACTTACTTTTGGGTGAAATATCACCGTTGCGAATATTAATGTTACTTGATTCACTGCTAACTGTCCAAACGAATACTTTATTCACTGCTAACTGTCCAAACGAACCATTCACATATATATATATATATATATATATATATATATATATAGAGAGAGAGAGAGAGAGAGAGAGAGAGAGAGAGAGAGAGAGAGCAGTAAAGTTCTAACTCTCACGCACAATATAGTAATAATTAAATAAGTGGAGTAAGACTGGACACAGTTTTAATAGGCTAGCGCTTTCAAGTCGTACCACGTACGAGTCTCATCAGGCCATAACTGAATAACGGACATGAAGAAGTAAGATATAGTTACGTCACGTCATAACATTTTGGAGAAATATGACGTCACAATACCAAAATGACAATGGACAAATAACTTACGCCTTTGCATTTAACTTTATGAAGTATTTATGAATGAAATGTTGCTCTTTTTGTAACAGTGTAGGTTCATGATCAAAATTTAGCTTGTATAGCGGGAAAACTAAAAATTGCCGCTTCCACATGTATCTAAATGTTCACTGAGCGGATTCGTGCGCTTGTGTGGCTGCTTTATTTATGAACGGTGAAGATTCTTCTTTTTAATGTAAGTTCTGTCCTTCCAATATACTTTTCATTGCATCCGCTACAAACATTCAAGTAAATAACATTTCTAGTATCACAATATTTTGTTTTACAGTAAATTTAGTGTCCTTTGTAATTTGTACTGAACAGCCATCAGTTATATTGCTGCAAGTAAGGCAACGTTTGTCACTGCACTTTGAAACCTGTGGAGTGATGACAACAGAAACAAATTTAGAATGTATGAAAATATTTCTAAGCTTTTGGGTTGTCATTGGCTGTTGATAATTTTGTATTTGCTCAATATCCTCTCCATTTTAATACTTTGATTCAAAATAGGCAGGTATCGTTGAACCATGGATAATGTTGTTTTCATAATTAGGGTTGAAGGTAGATATTAGAGTTAAATTATTCCCCATATTGTTTTCTTCAGACTTTGCTCTCATTTTTAGTTGATCAATACTTAGCGCCTTCTTTATGATATCTTCAATTAGCTTTGCGGGATAATTTTGATGCAGTAGGAAACTCTTAAGTTCAACAAGACGGGTAGTTTTAACATAATTCCCGGAAACAATGGTACAAATACGTCATGCGAGACATTAAGGGATATTACGTTTTGTATGATACGGGTGACATGATCCAAAATCCAAATATTGGTGCGCATCAGTATCTTTATAAAAGATATCAGTTTGTACAAATCTCTCAGATATTAAATTGATTCTTACATCGAGAAAGGTTAAACTGGATTCGCTTTATTCCATAGAGAAACTGAGTGACGCATTAAGTGAATTTAAAATTTCATGAACAGCTGTAAGTTGACTTTCACTGGTATTTAATATGATAAAACAGTCGTCTATAATTCTTTTCCGTGAATAATCAATTTTTTCTTTCATAGATTCACCAAGAGATTCTGTCATCTTATCATAAAACATATTCTCTAAAAATCCAGACACAAGGGTTGCATAAGTACACACAAACTCCATTTAGTCCCCCCTCCACCTTTTGCATGGCATATTTCAAAATTCCAAATGTGTTTTCTAAATTAATTAAGCAACCCTAAAAGCCCCCAAGGTTGCCCCGACTTCTCGGACATACCCTTTTCGGCCAGACACCAAATGGCCTGGCGGGCCCGTGCGCGAAATACGCATGTGTCGGAAAGCGCACGTTAAAGTCCCAATTTAAGAAAGTAAGTAAGCAGACCCCCCATATCTGAGACACTCGACATGTGTATACGTGCATCAACTTTTGCACAAACCAAGTGTAGCAGTAGTTTGTCTGATTAACGAGCAGAAACTCATCTTACAACTTACCACTATGTGGAACAGATAAACAACACAGTATTTGACCTATCATTTTAAAACCATCTATGTGTCATGTCTTTGAACATCATTTACAAGTGCAACACATAAAGAAGACATGTATATTTTGGGGAACACAATGTTTCGGAATGTACATTTACTCCTTCACCTGAGGAAGGAGTAAATATTACTTCCAAAACTTGTGTTCCTTATAATAAAGTTACCGTCCATAAATTCTCTTTCTTACATTTACTTTTACGTATCATCAGTGAATCATCTGGTTTCCACTTCGTCTTGAGGAAAGTTCCGTTCCTTATCAATCTAAGACCGCAATAACAGAAGCATAAGCTTCATAAGCACATCAAACCGAAATGCATTTTCATATATTTAATCCTGAATGCTAAATGCTAAACAGAGACTGTGATGGCCGCTGTTAACACTCACCATTTCAAGCGTTTACGGACTTAAGTCCTAAGTGTGTTTTGAATCAGATGAACTGAGGACCAAAATCGGGGTGATCTAGAAAAAAGTGTATTCAGGCACCACTGGGAATTGCGTTCTCATACACTCCTCCCCATTCCGAAGACTATTGATGACTTATTTTAAATGAGTTACACACATCAGGGAATATAAACATTTGTGAATTAAATTCTTATTGATTGATATAGAATAGGTGATGCATCCTTGCCGAAAAAATAGAGTTTTTAAGAACATATCTATGTGAAGCTTTGTACTGTTAATGGACCTACCACCCACACCTCTTTAAATATAACAAGAGCAACAGGCTTACTATAGCTCCAGGTTCGATTGAACATACATGGGGCAGTAACGCACGACAGCATTTCTGAAGTGTACATGCAGTGTACCAATATGGCGCCACTTTCTCGGCACTATTACCGACTTTCACGGCACCATCGCGGCATTATCGCGGTACTATCACGGCACTTTTGCGCCACTCACACAAAGAAAAACAATCAAGGTGTTTCCCTCAATGTTTTTGAGCTGTGTAGCAGCGTTTGATAATATACCAGAAGGCAAAAGAAACTCAATGCGATCTTTGTTTTGTCACTGTTGCAATATCATGTTTTAGTTCATGAGAGTATGCGAGCATAATCGTTGCAATAATAAATGGTCGGTCTCACATCCAATGATTTTAGTAAACTTAATAAACCACAATTACCTTTCATTTTAGTGCCCCAGTGCACAGACGATAGCGAATGTGAACATGGTGGAACCTGCAACAAAGACAGTGACCAGTATGTGTGTGACTGCACCCCGGGTTATGGAGGAGACACGTGTCAGCTTGGTAAGAATAACGTATGAAGGTTATCATATAATTTCGTTAAACAATCATGACACAGAACAACCTCAGGCCTTGAATGGTGTAACCCTTGTCAAGAAAAACTTTCACGCAAGAGTCGTATGATGCACCTTGAAACTGTTAGTGGTTTCTGATAGGAATGTTTTTCTTAATACATATCCCTCCCTTTTGTTTGATATTTTAAGCTCCAAAGTGCACAGATGCGAAGACCTGTGAAAACGGCGGTACCTGTCAGGCTGACACCACTGACCAGCATATCTGTTTCTGTGCTCCAGGCTTTGGAGGGGACCTGTGTGCTGACGGTAAAATTATGTTCATGTACAGGTCTCATAATTCAACGAATGAATTGTTGAATATTCTATACTGGTTAAAAACACCCCCTTCTCTATGACTTTCTTTTAAGATTATCACTACCGCCCACGCATTCAAACCATATATGTTGCATAAATAGTAGATATTGATTTCTCAAAAATAATTAAAGCATCTTGCAGCATTACCAAACGTATTCTTCTTTTTTGCAAGTCTAGCTGCTTTTTTTAAAACTATCTTAGAACTAAAATTGTGGTCTAGGTGATGTAGAGAAACTATATCGTACCTAAGTTAATTCCCTTAATAAGCTAAGATTACTTACCGCTAAGTTATCTAAAATTCTTTATAAATACTAACACAGGTTCGGAACTGGCTTTGAAGTTTACCGGACCTAATACAGTATGTTGAAGATACCGATTCTGCAATTTGTGCCTACTGTACCATTTCTGACCACAAAACCGAAAGGTTAATGCTTGTACTTTCAGAATACAACAACAGAATCCAGAGAACACACCCAAAAAATCACATTTACCGATTATAGGGCTTAGCTAGTCGAGTAACAGATGACAGCTTGACAGTCATTCCATACAAAATGTGATCCGGGGTAGAATAGGTTTTCAGCAACCCATGCTTGCCGTAAGAGAAGACTAACGGGATCGGGTGTTGAGGCTCGCTGACTTGGTTGATGCATGTCATCGTATCCCAGTTGCGTTGATCGATGTCCATGATATTAATCACTGGATTGTCTGGTCCAGACTCGATTATTTACAGACCCCCGTCATATATCTGATATAGTGTTGAGTTCGGCGTTAAACAACAAACAAACAAGCTAAACTTATTATCATGCACAAACAACATCGCCTATCGGACGTGGATGCGTGACACGTGAAGTGGAACTTAAAATCTTATTTCTTTCAATCCTACTTCATGAATCAAGCCTCCCCATCGGGGAATACTTTTTGTTTGTATTCTGTATGACATTTGTATATTGTGGTGAACGTGACGTTATTTAAATTAAGATATTATTCTTACAACAAATGGTTGTAAAGTCATAATATAATAATGCTATGATCACGACTTCCTGTACTGTATAAATATAATGATCTTCTAAATTGTTTGATATCCATTGCTTAGAAGTTGACGGATGACAAGGTAGACACAATTTTATGGATAACAAATTCCGTAGAGGATTAACAGTAACAACAATCTGGTGTTGATTGGGCGGGATGTTTCACGTACGTCAGATTGTCCACAGATTGTCCAGAGAAGCCCCTGAGGCCATACTGACCAAGGCTATGATTCCCTGCGAATCTGACACATATAGACATAGACATAGACATAGTTTATTAAAGTGTCACATGGCATGAAACAATAACAATACATCATATTTAATTTATCATACCATCCAGCCTAGCTAGGCTTATGAGACACTATTTTAAAACAGATATACACTAGTAAGATCATACCTAATAGAAAAATAAAATAGATTAAAATGTATTAAAATATACAGATATCAATCGACTAAGACATATATTATGTAAAACGCTGGCTCCTGTTAAACATTTCATTAATAGTTGATACTAAAAGTTTTATTAACGAGGCGTCAGAGCTTGACATGACGTCAGTTAACACAGTAAAAGTCTTATCAGTTAACATAGTAAAAGTCTTATCAGATGATTTAAAATTTAAAAGATTAACAAGTTCAAACCTAAGATCATCATAAAAGCTACAATAGAAAAGAAAATGAACTTCAGATTCTAGATGATTACAAAAAGGGCACAGTCTCTCATTAAGAGGCGTGGGAGGTTTGTTATAGCGACCAGTCTCAATGTGGAGGGGTAGATTACCACAACGTAATTTAGTGAGATTTCGTCGCTTATTTCTTGATATAATGGTTTGTAGATAGGGCTCCGGTCGACAATCCTTCTTAAACAGCCTGTAAGTGCGAAGTTTGTTACCATTAGGATTTCTCCGGTCATTCCACAATTCTGTAAACCATTTTTCTTCATCCAGTCTGTAGAGGCGCTGTTTAATTTGGGACACAATTCTCTTGATGGATGCGGGTGATATCAGAATATCCATTATCTGTAATTGCCCACCCAGCTTGAAAACACTACTGGCAAAAGTACCTTCCTAACTTTAGACCAGTTAAAAAGTTTAAATGTAAGTCTGTCACTTGGTGTTCGAGATAGTTTGACAAAATATCTGAAGGCTTCAACTCCTTGACAAGTAAGGCAAGATTTCCATCCCATTTCACCTTGTACTGCGATGTTTGATTTAGTTCGAGGTACACCTAGGAAGAAATGACATGCTCTTTGCTGTACATTACTTATTTCCCTGTGTCCATACTGTCCCCAGATAGGCACACCATACAATAATACAGGCAGTACAGTTGACTCGTACAGTTTTTTGTCACCACACTGCCTGTACTTGGTGATAAGAAGGGAGAAGGCCCTGCTAGCACATTTAGCTATTTCCTTGATAGTATACTTCGAATTCAAATGTTCTTCAAACCACAATCCTAAGTACTTGTATGAGTGAGTATAATCTAATAGCACGTTGCAGCATTTAACACAAAGCCCGAATGTCATGGCGTCGGCAATACGTCTAAATCTGTTGCAAAAATGCCTTTTCATTAAAATATCGAGTTTGTTGGCAGTGATTTAAGATAACAATTAAATTAAGTATGCTGGATGGGTAATGAAAAACGGGAGAAATATTTGAACAGGCTTTATGGAAAGGTTATATGGTCACATTTCATAACATTATTAAATGATGAACATGATAAAGCAACAGGCATAACGCAGACATGAATGTCCTGTATTTCAGCCTCTGGTGCTGCGGCGATATCGGCGCACTTCCTGCTGCTCACGGTTGTTGCTGTTCTCGCAAAGCTGAACCTCAACTGAATACAACCGGACCGGAACAAGGCCATACTGTTTCTTAGATGTGTAACATTTGCCCACAAGAGTTGGTAGAAGTAGATATAGATTGTATTGAATGTAATGATTGATTAATTGTGTTAATTAGACACGTGCTCAATGTGGTCACAGTAATATACTCCAACATTTTGAACAGTAGACCTGGTGTACAGAAAGTATTGATGGTTTTCCTGATGCCATTTACGACAAGTATTATCCTGATCAGAAATTTGAACAGCGGATAAAGGGAACATATTTGCGAAGAAGAACCCCAGCAGCATATCTAGAAAAGAACAAGTCACTGTGTGTTATTCGGGCCTGCATTTCAGGGCTATTTTGTATTTTTCTGTTTCATTACAATGTAATTACCTCACTGTAGATAAGAAGACAAAATTCGTCCCTGGTTACTTTTAGGCCATTGATGACATGTTACTGATGACGTGGAACTCTCCCCCAGGGACCACCGACACAGAGTAAATGTTATCTACTTCTTACCTACTGTGACAGTGAGCAATTATTACCAAAGGGTGTTATTCTATTATTATGTATAACATGATGAATAAGGACTGATTTACTTTATAATAAATAAAACATGTATTCCAGTGACAGTGAGCGATTGTTACCTACCAACCCAAAGTGTGTTATTCTTTTATTTTGTATGTGATGAATTGTGATTGATTTTCTTTATAATAAATACATGCATTCCATTTTACCTGTAATCTTGTTTCTTTGATGGATAATTTTCCAAAGTGGGGAAAATGGGCCAGGAGATTAATCGCAAAGTGAAGTCTTTATATCACAATTTCAAATCGGCATTGCCTCAGCCACAAAGTGACAAAAACAAGTTTTGGAATGACAAAAATAAATATTATCAATGCATCGAAGTTGTAGCATATTTATCATAGCAACAACATTTCTAACCATACTGTTTGCTTGATGTGTTTAATTTGTCTAGAGTTGGTAAAAATAGACATAGATTACACTTAATGTTTTGGTTGATTAACTGTGTTTCTATTCTATTAATTGCTATTAGATATGGAAATAGGTTTGTAATTTTATTTAAGAGGCACGCACGAAATATGGTAACAGTAGTATCATCCAATGTGCTGAACAATAGACCTAGTGTACAGGAAGTACTTGGTTATTTTCCTGATGACATATACACACAGAATCATCCTGATGAGAAATTGTACATTGTGAATAAAGGAACAAATACATCCATATTTGGAGTACGAACCCCAGCACCATATCTGGAGCGGAAGACGTCAACGTGTATTATTCGGGCCTGCTTTTCAGTTATTCATATATTCGTCTGTTTCATGATATTATAATTTATTTCGCTGTAGCCGATAGCTGGTTACTTTTATGACATGTTACTGATGACGTGGAACTCTCCCCCATTGACCACCGACACAGGGTAAGTGTTATTTATCACATAATGGGTGGGTGCCTCGGCAGGATAAAGCCAACGGATAAAAACGATATCCATTTGGGTCATATGCGGATACAGATGCAAATATCAAAGGTAAAGTAGGGACTACTTTCACTGTTTATAAACAAACATGGCGTAGCCCTTGTCATTCGGCGATCGAGTCAGAACTAACCATCGGGAATCTGGAGAAACTACTTGGATAATTGCTATCATTATGAAAATAACAGTCTAATATACTGAAAATCAGTGTCTAACTGTGACGTAGCTAAGGCATTTTACAAGTTTTGGCAACCTTGGAGACATAAATTGCAAAACAATCAAGCGAGGGTACTAGCCTATCAGGATATATTTCCATATGTGTGCTTGTAGACGTCTGCGGCTTGGAACCTTTTTCACAAATTAAAACAGTTGGTGTTGGCCGAGATATGTTCGAATTGTTACCTCTTTTTCGTTTTGTCGCTGTGTGTACATCTGACTGCACTTCGTAACGTTATGACAGGACAGACCTACTGTCAACAACGTCTGACTGTGGCCGTGACGTTTCATAGAATGGGGTAAGAGTAGCTTCCCTTTGACAAAGGGCAGTTACTCTATCGGACAGACCGATGGATATCCGCGAAAGGAATGTAAAAACAATTTATGTAGGTAATTTGTGTTTTACATGTACACTGTATGTAGTTACGTTGGTTGGTTTATTTGTTGTTTTACGCCGCACTCAGCAATATTCCAGCTGTATGACGGCGGTCTGTAAAATAATCGAGTCTGGACCAGACAACCCAGTGACTGACATCATGAGCATCGATCCACACAATTTGGATTCGATGACAAGCATCAACCAAGTCAGCGAGCCTGATCACCCGATCCCGTTAGTCGCCTTTTACGACAAGCATAGTCGCCTTTTACGGCAAGCATGGGTTGCTGAAGACCTATACTACCCCGGAATCTTCACGGGCGTATGTAGTTACGCCACTGTATAAGAAACAGGTTTCTGTTGAAACTATATTGGCTACTGTCACTGTCCGACGGACACATAACTTACCCTATGACCTAATATATATTAATGCGTACATTCCAGGAAAAATTGCAATGTTTAGGTAATGTTTGTGAGAGATGGAAAGCGATTATCGAGCATAGAATTGAAGAATGACATTAGATGATAAAGAGGTTATCACGTTTGTGCGTTTCGGGATGGTCAATATCCTGTACGTTAGGAATAAACACTATGTATTTAGCTCACCAAGGCTCGCTAAATACAATGTTCATTCCTAATGCGTGATAACCTCTATCTATTCTTATCTGAAGTGACAGTGAGCGATTTTTACCTACCCAACCAAAGGATGTTACTGTTAATAATTCATTTATAATAAACTAACCAGTATTACAAACTGCTCCCTGCCTGATGATAGTTACATTGATTATGACATGAACAAGCCTGGGAATTCAAATTTATTTTGTAAGAGGTGACCAAACGGATGGATTGTTCAGGCTTGATGATTTATTGGATTCAACTTTCTGGTTCATAATGAGAATTCCATGCAGATGCAATGTTCACGAAGCCAAGAATATGCTTGACGATGAACCTTTCATTAGTTCCTTGTTCTGTGCAGAATGGCTGCTTCTCATATGAACTGCTCGTAAAATACCCGTGACTTTGATTTCAGCATCACACTACAAGAGTTCATCCTTATCATCATGAACAAACCTATTGTGACCAATACGTTGTCGTAAAATGGCCCAATCGTGCGTCACTTGACAACATTAGGAGCCTGATCCCCAAGTTCTAAAATGTAAAGCGTAGCATGCTAACTTGGGTGTCCATCTCTTTTGATCTCAATAATATAAATTTCACTTCTTTATTTGTAAGGTTGTACGTTGCTAAAACCATTTGCATAATCATAAAAAAAGATCAACTAAAATCCATTTTACTATGCTGACTGTCATTAACCTCCTTATTCCCTGTAGTTAATAGCATCACTCCCAATTTAAAAGCAATTTGTTATTCAGACACATCATGGTACATATACATTCCCGTCAGAGTGATATTCAACCATAATACGGGAAAATGACTACTTCATAATGTGAACCCGTAGCAGTAGCAATGCTCATGCAGCCAAGACAATGATTGACACTGAACCGTTCATCACTTCTTGGTTCGACTGCATGTGACTAATGGCTACCTTTCATAGAATGGGCCTCGCGAAGATCCGGCGTAGAATAGGTCTTCAGCTACCAAGTTTGTCGTAAAATGCGACTTTGCTTGTTCTCAGAGTCGACTAACGGGTACGCGTGGTCAGGCTCGCTGATTTGGTTGATGCATGTCATCGTATGCCAATTGCGTGTATCGATGCTCATGATATCAATCACTGAATGGTCTAGTCCAATCTAGTTTTTTACAGACCACCGTCATATAGCTGGAGTGTGGCGTTGAACAATGAAAGAACAAACAAACAACACATTATAGAATGGACAAAGGGAAGTAATCCTGACACGAATGACATGAAGCGCTCGTTCAATACCCATCACTGAGATTTCACATGACACTACAACAAGGGTTCATCCTGGATGTGACTGATTGTTGTTTGAAATCATATGGACAGGTGATATCCCCTTTGGTGACCCACATCTATTGCATCTATTGAATTGTGGGTTTGGTTTATAATCACTGTATTAGGGATAACGGTTTGTTAATAGCTGCTTCAGCTGCAGCTTCAGCTTTTGAGTTGCCAAATATTTACGTATGGCTGGGCAACACACGTCTGTTCCTATTTAAATTAGCATCGACAATGCTGCAGTCAAATAGGGACATCGAACGTAGAGTACTGCTTTATTGTCAAGCTGAAAACCAACGTTTTGATATTGGAGATACATGTAGATATACATGTATTTGTTTAAATCCGTTCTTGTGTAAACCCGCTATACATAACTAACACACTCACAAGCTCTTTGCGCGTACACCGACGGTGAATAGAGACATCTACTAGTGTACTTGATACAACACTCTTAACAGTGTTGTGCCAATCTTTAGTTCTAGATTTGGTTAGTCTGGTTAACTATTAATTGAACAGAGGTCGAAATTAAGTTAATGTTACAAGCTATGTGCTTCCGTCATAGGCATTGATGTATCGCCCAATCTCTTGGGTTCAATGCTGTTTCTACAACATACCACTAATTGCTAGTATCAGACGTGTTTCTGACAGATATGTGACAGGGGTCAGTGATTTTAGCGAAAGAATCAGACCCTAACGCAATAAAATGTTTACTTGACTGAGAAACATAGTTCAATCTTATGAACATCAGCCGACAGTTGGCGAGCTACTTTGCGGTCGACTCGGAAATGGCAAACTTGTAAACAAACAGTTACGTTCCCACAATGTCTACATGTTGCAATAGTCAACATCCTTCACTCAGAATTCATTCTTTCGAATAATAGGACCAAGCACCTTAGATAAAGCAATGTAAAGTAGGAAATATTAGGCTATACAATTTAAGGGTTAATTTCGACCTACCAAATATAGATAGTTTGAAGAAAAGCTCTACACAATGACATCAAAACAATGTCCCCAATACTAGGCTATGCCGCCACCCTCAATGTGCTCGCTAATGTGCGACACCCTAAGAGAACTCCCAGTATGACAAGCCCTACAGTTGTATAACGGTGCGGCTGTAATCCGATGAACGTCTTTGTGGGTGACTTATGACACGCAAGCAGCATCCTAATCCCAGGGCCCATATTGAGCAACTCAATTTTCTTAACAATGTCAAATTGCTTATCGGTGTGGATCTTTTGGGGGACAAGGCACTGACCTCTAATATATACAAATAGAAATGAATAGGGAACACTCATTTCGAGACATAGTAAGTCGATATGCTATCATTGGTTACCAGCCTTGTGTACGAAATACGTTTTGAAAACAATGCACACAAACACATCTCAGCATTTTATTCTGACATGTGTTCATTGTTCTTTCATTCGTTTCCATCAGTATATGTCGTGTATAGTTAGAAATGATTATGACTGGTTTACTTAATGTATGTGTTGGTATAATGTTATACTGTAAGTTGATCCTAAACACAACCCTAAGCACGTCCCTTGTCCCACAATGTTGACGCCTTTAGTGTCTAAGCAGCGGATCCTGTAACAAGTGACGGTCATCTCAGGTGCCCTATTAATAAGATTACGTTCTTTGTTATCTACATGCCGCTTCGGACCCGTGACGATCCGAGTGTAGAATAGGTCTTCAGCAACCCATGCTTGCCGTAAAA